ATAGTGGATGTCACCGTTCTCATCGAGAAGAGTCGGTGGCGGGCGGTGACGACCGGGTTGACCACCTTCTAGTGACTCGTGATGCTCTTCGAGCCCTTGAGGACAACGTCCTTCGTATTCGGAGCTCCGCTGAGCGTCATGCTGAAGTAGCATATCACTGTGCGGACGCTCGTGACGATTTAAAACACGTCGTGCGCCGGCTGCTGCGTCTTGAGGACTATCGCGCTTTGTCGGAGCGACTCTCAGCCGTGAAGCAGGCGAATGCATCGCTGCAAGCAACGGTGGAGCGCTTGGTTCCATTGGAAATGAAGCTTGTTGCGCTCCGTGCTCAGAACCAGTTGCTGGCTCAACTTCTGGGTGGCGGCGGGCCTGTGGGATCCGACGCGTTTCCTTGCGCCGGATCTGGGTACGGCTTGAGCAAGCCTACGTAAAAAAACACCGGGTGGGTGCGCATCCGATTTGAAAGTTTCAGCGTATACGCCAGGCCCCGTTTGGCCACAACCTTGAACGGTCCAATAAACCGTGGACGAAGCTTTGTCCCGAGGATAGCAGATGCTGCATGTGTAGGAAGGCTTTTAGAATTTAATAAACCAGGTCCCCGACCTCAAAGCTTTTCTCTTTGCCTCTTCCTTTTTCATCTGCATTTTGTTTCTGCAGGTCTTGGCTTCCAGCCATCGCATCGCGAACGTGTCGTAGGACACTCAGTCTGGTAGACAGGAAGTCATCGACTTCTTTACGGATGGTGAGGGGGCTGACATTAGCTAGCCATTCGGCTATCCCCCCCCACCAAGCCCTGAGCCATGGGATGGCGGCGTCAGCGGGACGCGGGGGCGAATCAGCCCGTTCATGTAGAACGGCGTGTAGCCGGTAGACGCATGCACTGCATTGATCAGTGCAAATTCTACAAGTGGCAACATGACGCTCCAGCGCCTCGGCGTCTCAGCGCAGACGCTGCGAAAAACGTCTTCGATGACGCGACTCACCCTTCGATTTGACCATCGGTCTGCGAGTGATCCGCTGTCGACATATCCAACTTGGTGCCGAGCACCTTGAAAATAGTCGACCAAAATATTTTGTGAAACGGGGGTCTCTATCAGAGACATTCGACTCTGGGAGTCCATGTTGTCGAAAAACACGAATCTACAAACAGCGTTGCCGTACCGACTTCGTCGG